TAATGGGGCACTGACAAAGAACTGCAGGGGAGAATTGTTTTTCAACAATAACATTAAAAGTTAGTGTTGACATTGCACTCCAAAGAAACTAAATTAGTGGCATTGCTTGATAAGTTCATTTAAAGGAGTTATTTCTTAAGTGAAAAAATATGATAATTTTATAATCAATGGGAAATCAGCAGCAATCATCTAGATAGATTCTGTCACCTTTGCATAAAATTGTTTTGGCCTCTTTTCGTATTGTGAATAACCAGACACTATGTTTCCAGAAGTTTGTGATGCCTAAATTTTGAATTTTTTTTCCATTACAATGTTCATTGGTTAAAAAAGAAAGAAAATTAAACAGAAATAAACAAATCTATTACTATTCAAGAAGTATTCAGATTTAATGTCTCTGTACAAGCCTGTATTGGGAAATGTTGATCTTGAATTGATTTTTAAGATCAATTCCTCTGATTAGGCATACCATATGTCCACTTGGATTGGTATGGACTCTTCATTCTTCAGCGATTTCAGTGCTTTCATGTAGCCATCTTAATCTTTTGTTTAGAGTGTCTGCATTTTGTGGTCCTGTAGCAGCAGATTATAGAACAATTCATGCTGGGGGGCACCATCGGTGGTTTTCCATTTGCTGTAACCTCAAGGTTAGACAGGCAGCTCAGGCTGATATTCTGTTTTGACTGGAGAATGCCTTACTTAGCAATGCATTTCCAGTGTTTGACTTCCTATACTGTAAATCCACTCCTTCCCACCCCTAAAGATGTGGTCTGCTTAGCTTTTTTTGCCATTATTGCCAGACTTGTTATTGTTTTCCACCAGTAACAAGGGGTTTGAATTCTTTCACTTCCTGCTGGTTTAGCATGCAGGTGCTGCCCTCGGCTGCTGAAATAGATCTTTGTTTTATCTTTCTGTCTTATGCCTTTATCCAGCTAACATTGAAGAAATTTGCCCTACCAGTACCAGTCAAGTTAAATTGTCACTGTGAGACATTTTACAGAATCTTTCAGGCAGACTGTTCTGTACCTAGCAGCCTAAACTCTCCAGCTGTTCCCTGTTTGGGAAAGAACTTCTGGTATACAGACAGAAGTTCTTACCTATTGTGTTGTTTACAGTTATTTCAGAAACAGATTTTTAGCCCTGAAACAAAAAAAAAAGCTTGTTTTGCTCAGCTTTCCATGTGCAATTACAAGTGGTATCACAGAGAAGAGCAAAAATGGGATTGTATAAATATTTGGCAGCTTGCTTGAGCTACCCTTAGAGAAAAGAAGTTTGCAGAAGGCTTCATTGTGTAAACACAACAGGAGATAGCCATCTGGAGTGGGAGGCTCAGTGAGGACACAAGTCATTGACTTTCACTGGAAAACAGCAGGAAAATCAACTTTTGAGCTGTTAATCTTCAGATGTACTGAAGATTTCAAAAACTCTTGTGGAGTAAACTCTTTCTTCCACAGAAGTAGGCACATTAGTTGTCCAAAATACAAACAATTTTAAAAATACAAAGATTTTTCCATCTTGTGGTAACCGTGTGCTTTTGTGCAATTATACTATTTGGTAGCTATAAGAACAGAAAGTTGAAATGAAGCTGAGGTTGGGATTCTGTCTCATGTGCATCATTACAGGATGTTCTTTAATATTTCCCCTTCTTTTTTTTCAATACACTTTTGGAATTTTCTAATTTTCTAATGTTATATTTAGGATTTCTATATGTAGAAGCCAGTTTCTAACTGGTATCACAGGTTTTCCAAACCACAATCAAACACATGGAGGGAGAGGAAATTAGTTGTTTTTTTTAAAAATAAAAATGTACATACACACATAGTCCAATACAATCCACAGGTAGTATTAGGATTAAAGTATATTTTTGTTCAAACTGTTCTGAAATTTACATGCAGTATTAGACTAATTTTTTCTTTTTTTTTTCTTTTTCTTCTTTTTCTTTTTAAATTTATTTTCACTGAAAGATTAGGGACCATGTAAAATTTTTTTCCCAATATCCAGATGAATATTTTACCCCTCAAGGCATTTCTGTTTTGAAGCTGCTTAAAAAAGAAAAGTACTTTTGTTTTGTTTTCTCTAGGTGTCATTGGTTAGCTTAGTAGCTACTGCCCTTGGTTTCTCAGAATTTGGTGCAATTAAATCGCTCCGAACATTGAGAGCTTTGAGACCTCTAAGAGCTTTGTCACGCTTTGAAGGCATGAGGGTAAGGAAAAAAAAAGGGGGAAAAATGTGTAAAACAAATCCTTAAAAGTATGCCAAATTATAATAGTATGGAAGAACACTAAATGAATGTTTGTTAGTAAAGCCAATAGTAGCATGTTTGGTTATATGACATGCATTACTCCTTTTCTATTTTCATTACTTCAGTGTAATGTAATGTTTTACATTAAATCATCTTCTAGATTTAAAAAAAAATAATCCTTATGTTGTTTTTAATTTTGTTTTTCTGTGTTTGTTGACTAGGTGGTTGTGAATGCTCTTACTGGAGCAATCCCATCCATTATGAACGTACTTCTGGTTTGTCTCACATTCTGGCTAATTTTCAGCATTATGGGAGTAAATTTGTTTGCTGGCAAGTTCTATCACTGTGTTAACACCACAAATGATGTGATGTTCACACCAGAGCAAGTCAGTAATAAAAGTATGTGTGAAATTATGAGCAGCAGTACTGGAGGTGTTCGGTGGAAAAATGTGAAAGTAAACTTTGATAATGTTGCAATTGGTTATCTTTCTCTGCTTCAAGTGGTAAGTGCATAAATTTTCCAGCTTTAGTTTTAGTTGTGGTATCATTTAATTACATAATTTTCAATGTTATTTTAAAATAAATAAATAGATACAGATTTGACTTTATAATTTTGTTCTATGGAGCTAATTAATGCTGCTTATTGTAAAAATGTGATACATTCTCTGGCCATTTTGGAAGAGGAGGAATATCTAATATTTACCTGATGGATAAAAGGTTGCTTGGCACCCAGCTGCTAGTACCTTTTCAACTGCTATGGAAATGCAGAGAGTGTGGATGGCCTGTCATTGGAAATTTTTGATGTAGTGAAAGATATCCCTGCCTGTGGCAGCGGATTTAAACTAGATAATTTCTAAAAGTCACTTCCAAGCCAAACCCTTCTATGATTCTATTATTCTCTTTAGGTTTATTTGAACTACTTACCTTTTAGAGTTTTTTCAAGATTGTTTCCATATTCTGTCTGAAAAATGCCAGTAGATGGTGGCTGATTTTTTTTTTTTTTTCCTGGAAAAGTCCTCCAGTTTTTTGGTAGTCAGACAGTTAGAACTGAAAGCCACCTTATAATACCTTGAGGAAAACCAGGCAGTATTTGGGAAGAGCTGGTGTTGGCAGCATGTGCTGCACTCAGGGCAGAGGAATGGTGCAGCCCAGTATGGCTGCATCAGTGATGGAATTACAGGGGAGCCACAGAGCTGGGGTGTGCAGGGGAGGTCCCGGAGGAGAAGCAGTGGATCCAGGCTGGGTGCTGGCTCTGGAAGGTGCACAGAGCTGTGTGTGGTCCATGGCCCACCGTGGCCCCCATGGACACCATGGCACACACTTGAAGGATGGATGAGCTCCTGAGTCCTTGGGCAGCTTCACTCAGTCTCTTATTGGAGCTCCTTGTTTCCAGTGGAGTGTCCCACACCATCCCTGTGCAGGTGGAATAGCTGATCATGCAGGTTCCCTGTATCCTGACATCAGGGACTTGGCTTTACTGGGATGCCAAATAGCACAGTGCCTTTCCTGTTAAGGTAATAATACTTTACAGATGGCAACCAGCACATCACATTTCCCTGGGAGATAAATTGCTGTCTCGCTGGTATGATGATACAGATTACAACTCATCTCACAGAGAGTTTATATGAATTTCCATGAAGATTGGAATTTATTCAGTGTTTTTTAAGAAGAACTGGGGGGAGATACTCCGCAGTAATGAACTTCCTGTGAATGCTTCACTTGTAATGCACCAGACTTTTAATATTTTCTTTATTTTTATGAACAGAAATACATTACAGAAGACATTGTTTTATTTAAAATGTTCTCAGAACTGGAGCTTTCATAGAAAATATTAAATTTTGTTTTCAGGCAACATTTAAAGGATGGATGGAGATTATGTACGCTGCAGTTGATTCTACAAAAGTGAGTGCAATATAAAATCTACATAAAAATAAAATGTACTGAGGGAAAACAAATCTAAGATTGATGTAAGGCTTCTTGAATGGCAGTTGAAATGAGCTAAAATATAAAAAGTTAAATGTTAATCCTGAAGAATTTTCTACAATCTATACCCACAAAATGCTTATACTTTTATCCGGTAAGAAAATTTATAGCTTAGGCTACATAAATTATTACTAATTTAATAATTCTTCTGTAAAAATCCAAACTAATGAGATATGTTTTTCTATTAATTTATGTCTGAGATTCTACAGATCAGGAAATAAGTTTTTTCTGTGGCCTCAAAAGTAACCCAAATAGTCAAGAGGCATCACTGCAAAAACTAATCCAGAGCTGCAGACTGCGATGATCTCAAAAACCAAATTTGCTAAATTTTGCCTATTTTTCTTTTAATCTTGCTATTTCTTTGCATCTCTTCTCAGGCCAGCTCTTGATTTTGCATATAGTCTATAGGAACTGAATTGCTTTTGAGATTTGCACATTTTGTCAAATTTAGTAGGACCTACATGAAATGTCAAATGTCATCAAAGATAACAGACAGAGAGGGAAGGAATGGCAAGTCCTGCAATGTGTGCAATTACAGAAAACTGTATTAAATAGATTTTCAAGTTCAAATATGAGGCAAGTGTAGTGTATGCTCCAAAAGGGTTGGGTTTACCCCCTGTCCATCTGGATGCAACTTCTCCTCCCGCTCGGGAATCTTTCATTCGTATTCACTGTTATTTGTGATGCTTTGCTGTTTTTCTATGTTACATAGGCAGAGAAACAGCCCAAATATGAAGAGAACCTGTACATGTACCTTTACTTTGTGGCCTTTATTGTCTTTGGATCATTTTTCACCCTAAACTTATTCATTGGTGTCATCATAGATAACTTCAACCAACAAAAAAAGAAGATAAGTACCACATGTTTCATTTTTACAATACTTCATTGTTATTGAGCATTCAGCAAATGTATGCAAGGATAAATAATAGTGTCTGAAATTTCTCATAGAAATAGAAAGAAAAAAAGAAATCAGGTTTTAAGATTTTTGTTTGTTCGAAATAATTGAATAACAGTATTTTCTTTTTAACACATTTGAAGTAATTTAAAATTACGCTTAGTGCTGAGTGTTCTCCACATCCCTGTACAGCCCAATGATATATTGTCCATCAGAAAGTCACGTCCTTGTTTTTGTTAACTTTACAGTGCAGTGACTAAGCAGTGTGAAAGTGCAGATGACTAAAACAAATAAAAGGCAGGAAAGAAGAAAATACGCAAAACTATGAATTTCAAAATTGATAAGGAGATGACATACAGCAGTATTGTGAAGGCCTCCATTACAGAGACTAACATGTTGAATGCTGAAAATACTTCTCTGTATTGTAAGATTAGTGAGGGTAGGGAAACTGTCTTGAGTTAGTGAATTTGCAAGAAAAAGAAAATTTGTGTCATTTGAAAATGTGTAGGTTTTCTTTTCAACTTAAGCTGTTTCTATTACTTAAATGAACACAGGATTGTGTCAAGAACTCTAGAAACATGCAAATAGATGAAAAGGCAGGCTATGATGGCAAATTAAATTGTACTTGCTATTTAAACCATAAATGGTGGCATCTTCAACCTTCAAAATATTTGCACCTTCCTTGGAGTGAACTTGAGGGGCATTCAGTACTTAGCAGGAAGGTGGATCCACTTCTCATCCTTGGAGAGCAAGACTAAGGTTATATACATGTTGTTGGTAATTTTGGCAGTCGATACGTGACAAGGTGACCTTACTCAGTAATGAGGTAATTATAAATGTTATTAAGTTCATTTGGTAGACACTGTCCACTGGAATCATCATGACTCAGAAAGCAGATAAAGGTTCCTGCTAAATGGCTTTTTCTGGCAGTGTGGTATATACCCCTTGTACATTGGAGCTATTGCAAGTCACCAAGAAAGTAAAATACTGGACATACTATTAGGCTGGGGAAAATTCTATCTATATAGTATTCTTGAGTTTCATGTAGCAAATTAGCAAGTATTAGTTATCTTTCTTTTGAATGTGTAGGTGCATCTGTGTTCATAGAAATGTGCAGATCACACAGTTCATGGCTACCCAGCAGTATTTTTCTTCTTGTTTTTTTTTCTTATGACTGACATTTGGGCATATTGGGATATGACTGAGAAAAGACCTTGTGTTGCAGTATACTGTCTCTGTGTAGTTAAACTGTGCTTTTCTGTGGTTCCTGTGTTCATCCTACTTTCATTACATTGGTTCTGTGAGGGAGGCAATGTTCTACTGTTGAGTTCCTAACTGGTCTGTAAGGGTTATCTTGCCTTGAGGCCTACATTCTCCCTAGGGACAGCACACTGAGACAAGGATGGCTTGTTCAGCCGTTACATCAGTGAGACAGCAGAAGAAATCCCCAACCCATTTCCACTTTCTTTATGGGTCTTTTCTTTTATTCTTTATTTCCCACTGATTGAAATCTTCCAACAGTCACAGCACATTTCTACCATAATTATCAAATCAACTTCTTGTTTTTCTTCCAAAAGTCTTACTCTTCAAGAAGTTAATTTTACTTGAATATTTGATTTATGAGGAGTTTGTTAGAGATGGTCTCTTTTGACTTCTGAATCTTCATGTCAATATATAGACACAGCTGAAATTTAAAAACGCCTTCATTTAGACTTGCCATTACTTTATCTATAAGATTGACACTTATTTGTCAGTGGGACAAAGTCACAGAATCACCCCTGACTCTGAAGTCCATTTCCCTATGCCACTGCTTTGATGTTATGCATACCTGGAATATAATTACAAACAAATGCTTGAAAGGAAAAAAAAAGTTGCTTGTCAATATAAATTGTATTTCTGATAAGTGTTTCCATGTGTGTATTACCAGTCTAGAAATACTTCTATTCAGACAAGAAACCCAAAGTAAACCTATGCTTCTGATGATCTAGGTACAATGGTGGGGGATGATCAAGCTTCATATACACTGTTCATATATCATCTGAACTGAGATACCTATACTCAAATGGCAAAATTCAGATCCCAAAAATTAAAATCAGTAATTTCTTTCTGTTTTTATGTTTTACATGAAGGCATATGTTCTCACAGTGTATCTTTTTACCTTTGAAGCTTTTCTATTTCTGGTATATTGATTTACAATGTGGAATTCATGATGTTTGATTTGTAAGAGTCTATGAAATGTGTATTTTGCAGTTTAGGTTTAGTTTTTAAAAATTATTTAATTGAATTAATCAGATATGTATTTTTTTAGTAAGAAATAGAAGTTTTGGGAATTTTCTTTGTTCAATAATTTCTTTCATTTTTTATTCAAGATTCATCAGCTATTTTAACAATCTTTGAAATAATTACTATGTTTTGGTTTTAGTCATAAAGTATAAGGATGAATAAAGGGCTCATTTAAACCATGTTCTGCAATGCTGTGAATTAATGGATATGAGGGCTTGGCTGTAATCCGATTTGGGGTTTCTTTTATTAATTTACCTTGGAGGCCAAGACATTTTCATGACAGAAGAGCAAAAGAAATACTACAATGCAATGAAGAAGCTGGGATCCAAGAAACCACAAAAACCTATACCTCGACCAGTGGTAAGAATTGTGCTATTCTTATGTCATCTATATTTGGTGAGAAATCACAGCAGTACATTAATTATAATAAAATTTCTTCTTTCATTCTAAAATAGTTTTGGCCTAATTAATGTTCCTCTTCTTTCTGAATTGAAATGTACATGTGTCTGTTCTGCAGGAAAAATCTCTCATATTGTTAAGCCTGAGGAAGTAGAGAATCAAAGAACATGAAGAAATATAGGCTTGTTGAGTTTTGAGAGAAAAACTTTGAACTGGCATATAAGTTACTGGATGATATTTTCCTTAGATTTTTGAGCCTTTTGCTTGGTTGTATATTTTGGGAGAGAAAGGATGAAATGGGACAGTGGGAACAGATGTTTATTACATAAAAATACTATAACCTTTTATTTTTTCTTCCCTCAGAACAAATTGCAAGGTCTGGTGTTTGATATTGTAACACAGCAACTATTTGACATCACTGTTATGGTTCTAATCTGTCTTAACATGGTCACAATGATGATAGAAACAGATGACCAGACTGAACTGAAGCAAAATATTTTATATTGGATTAACTTCGTCTTTGTTGTCCTTTTCACTGGTGAATGTGTCTTCAAAATATTTTCACTCCGTTATTATTACTTCACCATTGGCTGGAATATTTTTGATTTTGTGGTTGTTATTCTTTCAATAATAGGTAAGAAATTCTTATGTTCAAAATGAAATACAATTATATGTGTATTTAATGTTTTATCTCTGTCAAGGTGTGCAAATTGGAGGAGTTATTTAATTTTAATTTCTCTTCATTATTTAGGAAATGAAATGCATCGTTAAAAGTGCTAACATTCTTAGTTATTCTGTATCAGTTGTAATAGTTCTAAATTTGAGGTTATTTTCTAAAAGTGCTGGGAAAAATTCTAAAATTATCCATAGAAGATAAAATTTATCTCCAGCTATATTTTCCACTAATTCCACAACTAGAGCTGGGGAGGGTTTTTATACTTTTTTGTGGAAAATGTAATCTGTATTAAAAACTTACACTCTTAATTTATTTTTATGTTTCACAGGTATGTTTCTAGCTGAGGTGATTGAAAAGTACTTTGTGTCACCCACTTTGTTCAGAGTCGTCCGGCTTGCCAGAATCGGTCGAATCCTGCGCCTCATTAAAGGCGCTAAGGGAATCCGCACTCTGCTCTTCGCTTTGATGATGTCTCTTCCTGCTCTGTTCAACATTGGGCTGCTGCTCTTCCTGGTCATGTTCATCTATGCGATATTTGGCATGTCCAACTTTGCCTATGTCAAGAGGGAAGATGGGATTGATGACATGTTCAACTTTGAAACGTTTGGCAACAGCATGATCTGCCTGTTTCAGATCACCACCTCCGCTGGCTGGAATAATTTGCTCAACCCAATTCTCAACAGTGGGGAGCCAGACTGTGACCCTAACAAGGCTCATCCAGGGAGCTCTGTGAAAGGTGACTGTGGCAACCCTTCTGTTGGGATTTTCTTCTTTGTCAGCTACATTATCATATCCTTCCTGGTAGTGGTGAACATGTACATTGCTGTGATTTTGGAGAACTTCAGTGTTGCTACTGAAGAAAGTGCTGAACCCTTGGGTGAGGATGACTTTGAGATGTTCTATGAGGTTTGGGAAAAATATGATCCTGATGCAACACAATTTATTGAATATAGTAAACTGTCTGATTTTGCAGCTTCTTTAGATCCTCCTCTTAATATACCAAAACCAAACACAATTCATCTTATTGCAATGGATCTGCCTGTGGTGAGCGGTGACAGAATTCACTGCCTTGACATCTTGTTTGCTTTCACAAAGCGTGTTTTGGGGGAAAGTGGGGAGATGGATGCCCTCAGAATACAGATGGAAGATCGGTTTATGGCATCCAATCCTTCTAAAGCTTCCTATGAACCAATTACAACTACATTGAAACGAAAACAAGAAGAAGTTTCTGCCACTATCATTCAGCGTGCATACAGGCGCCATCTTCTAAGACAGTCAGTAAAGAAGCTTTCATTTATGTATCAGAAAGATGGGGGTGATCAGCTCATCAGAAAGGATATAATTGTTGGTAAGCTGAGTGAAAACTCATCTCCAGAGAAAATGGATATGTCTGCATCCACCACAGCTCCACCTTCCTATGACAGTGTAACAAAACCAGAAAAAGAAAAATATGAAGATGACAAATCAGAAAAGGAAGACAAAGGAAAAGACAGAAGAGGAAATAAAAAGTAAAAGAAAGATGTTATCCTTGATGAATGTTTGCAAGCTTGAAAATAATGTTTTTATCACTAGCACTCTTACTGGAGGATTATGCCAAAATTACAAGTTTTTACATATTTACCCACTGCTGCAGTCAATGCCTGTCCAAGACAATGATCCTTCACTATTAAACTCTTGGTCTGTAACAGGGAAACAAACTTGCAGAACAATAGTTTTGATTATCAGCTGTTACTGATTGAAAGGAGACACAGAATTTCTACTTAGACTATAGGAAACCTTAATGGATCCTAATAAGCCTGTATTTTTGTGGATTAAGTGTATCCACTGTGTACATTTCATCTTTTATCTGTGTTCCATGTGTGGCAGTTCTTGTTGCTTATTTTGTTTGGTTTAATAACATACTTCTTTATTAATTCTGCTCTGCTGAGAAAAAGAATCTAAATACTCTTTATTTAGCTAAATACTAAATAATACTCTTATGTGCAGAGAAATACAAATGTCAGGAATATGTAATTGTGGCATCATAATATGAACACAGTTCTCTTCACGCCACTTCTAAACGCAGAAAACCAGGATTCCAGATTACGGAACCTCAGGGTGTAGATCAAAGAAGCAGCAAACTAAAAAAAAAAAACCAACAAAGTCCAGATAAAGAATTTGTCAGCAAATCAAACAATGGAATAATTCTCTCAGAAAAGAGGTTGGTAACTTAATCTTTTAAGTTTAATATATTTATTTTTAGAGTAGTTCTGAATGTATTGTACACTGTCTGTTTCAGATACAGTGGTTTAAATAAATGATGCTACATAGAGCTCCTGTTTGGAAAATTGAGAAACTATGAAAAAAATTTACTTTCAGAGTACAAGAGAGCTCATAATTCCTGAAACATTCAAACAACTCTTTTCACAGAAAAGCTACAAATGCCAAATTCTGCCTATAGCAAATAATTTTTTTTAAATGGTATGTTTTGACTCTGGAGTATAGCGAGTAGGTTCTATACTTTATTGCAAAGTCTGTTGCTGCGCTTATTTTCCATGCATGTATCCTACTTAGTAAAATAATCAAAGCTATAAGTTGATAGCAGAGTATCCTTGGGGACCAGAGTACCTTTTAATATATACCTCAGATTTAAATTTCTCTACTTTGGAAGGATGAATCATAGAAACACAAAATATGTACATGAGAGAGGTGGTTTTGACATCCTCTTGGCAATTTAGTCAGGTTTCCAGGTAACGTAACCTTCCATAGAGAGCTGAGATGACCAAAAAGATTAGTGAAATCAGCTTTGTCCTGACACATTCAGGCTGACACTATACATGTAAGTAAAATCCCTCTGTTATTTAATCAGTTGTTTTACACAGTGGTACCTTTTTGCACAAAGAGACAATGACCTAATTACCGTATATGTGTCAAATATGTACCCTAGTAAGTTAGCCTACAACATTTCAATAGATATTATGATATATTCTGTGATACTTCAAGTAATTGGAAGCTCTAACTGATGCATGCTTGCTGCTATTATCCTACAGCTATTATTTAACATGGGAAGAGATGTGAGTGGTAAAAAGAAAAACTGTTTGACAAGACCATCATTCCTCATACCAGTAAGCAATAGTTTGCTGCTATTAAAGATTTTATTTTGTGGGAGTGTTGTAATCAGCAAATATGCAGTAAGGTAGTGGACTATACAGGACAAATAGATGGCTTAAAATATGGGGCTAGAAGAAAATTATAACGTATATCTATTATTTTTATTTTAAAAATAGTTTTATTTTATAACATTTTTTACTCACTGTAAGAAATTGCACATATTTTCCTGTTAGTAATATTTATTGCTGTCTGTCTTTGACACTTTACTGTTCAGAAACCTAATATACAACATGTAATTGAAAATTTCTGCTAATTGCTTTAAACAGCTTTTAATAAGGAATAATTTTAAAACAAATAGTACAATTTTTTTTTTTTCTGATCTGTAGGTAGGTCTTTTTATGTGAAACAAGATAGAAGGCCTTTTTTTATGTTATAATCCTGTCTGTTGATTTTCAGGGTAATCTTAGTCATAGGAATATTGCTTTTTTCCCCAGAGTTAATCTGACACTGTCTGCTTTTCTTATTGGTGCACACTGCAGCAGAAATACTTTAAATATAATTTGTTATTCAAAAATCTTCCTTCATGAGGATGAATAGTGAACTTGTGCAATGGACAGTGAAACACTTTGCATTTCTTACAAAAGAACCAGAATATTGATGGCCTCCTGCTTATGGAAATTACTGGCTCATAGTGTACTGATGAACTGCATGCAGGAAGTTGTTTTACCAAAAATAACTACAATGCTAAAAAGCCAAAAGAATAAAGATGACCTTTTTATGTAATTGTTTTAGTCTTTGTCTTTTATTGTATGAATTTTATAATGATTAACAAGTAATGGTTGGTAAAATTAAGGGGAAGCCACTTCAGCAGTGAGGTGATTTAGACATCTAGATCACATGTTGCTTCATGACTTAGCTCAGTATCAACTTGTCACCATCAACATGAAATGAAATGCTGATTTTGTCCTGACCATAGGAGTTTTTCTAGAATTCAGAAAAAAAATGCATTTCAACTGTGTGTCTTTCTGCCAAATTTTTGAGTTGTCCAGGAAGAGCTCCAGTGATACTCTCTGTCGGGCAAGTCCAGTGTGGGTTGGCTGCACGGCTGCTCCTGCAGACACTGCTCACCCTGGGATAGGGAACCTGGGATCTGTCACCAAAATAACCCCATGGGAGCATAACAGAGTTGGCTTAATTCCTTTCCTTCTGAGGAAATTTATGCTTTCCAAGAGGAGGGAACAAGAGCTATTAGAGGTTTTGGTGACCATGGTCAGGCAGCCGATGCCTTTGCTGGGGCTCTCAGGTGTGGTCCTGAGGCTGCTGCACACAGGTGGCAGGATGAGGGACACAGTGTGTGCATTGGACCTGGGCATGGGGTGATTAATCCTTTGTTTATTTGTTTGTGTGTTTTTTCATTTTATGGGTTTTTTGGGGTGTTTTTTTGTGTGTGTGTGTTCTCATTTCTTTTGTGAAAAGTAGTCGCTGTATACTTGGGCCAGTGCAACTAACAGGAAAAAACCCTGAACTGTGCTGTGCTTTGAAGGACAATTTGCATGTTTTTAGTAACTATACCTGATTTGAATTAATATGCATGGTTTTTTTTAATCCAGAATATCTAGTGTTTTAATATGGCAATTGCTAACAATAATTACATATTTAATGTAATAATATAAATACTTCTAAAACATATTGGTTATGCTGTTAAATTGCTGTTTAAAGAATAAAGTTAAGTCAGTGCTGGACAGGTGTGTAGTTAACTTGAAAATCCTGTGTGGAATAAGCCCAAAATATTTATGTAATAATTTTTCTACAAATTTGGTAGTGCACAGAAATAAGGGTCATTTATAAAATCATTTTACCCTATAAAATTTCTATTCTTTTTAAAGTTATGACTATTGAACCAATAATGCAGCTGTAGTTACTCTATTTTTATTATCTGAAATGCAGTATCTTAGACCTTTTAAAAAAAAGTAATATATTTTTGGATTCCAAGTGTATATATTTGGATATATTTGGATACTTCTGTATTTCTTTTAAATTATGCCAGTATACCTTGAAGGTAAAAAATTTATGGAAGACACAGTTGACTTGCAGACTTCCTCCTTAACCTGCAGGTATGAAATAAATCTGTGTTTTAGTTTAGATATACGACAGTGGTTTCAGGTAATGGGTCAGTCATACATCATTATGGAAAACCTTAAGCAAAATGCCTAGAGCAGCAGGACACTGCACTCTCTTACTGTCCCAGCTCACAGAGAAGGAAAAATTAATAAGAAAAGCTCGCTTAGAATTGCCTAAGAAATGATCTTTCTTTACTCTCTCTTACTAACCCAGGAATGCAGGTGTATTTTACTTTGTGAAGGTGACATCAACCTCCAGTTCCCCTTC